TCCTACCAAAAACCAACTTGCACTTATACAGCACTCTTCACACGGATTAGTGGCCCAAAGCACTTCACAGTGGCGGAGTCTGTTTAAGCTTGTTGTGAAGAGTTTGTAATGAAGAGACTTAAATGGGTTTAATATTATTCATGTTTCAAGTGGGAAATGTTAAGCTTGTATTGTTTCCTCCATTAATATTTTGTTGTCTTGTCCGAGCAGAATGGCTTCCTCAGACAAAACTACATTGGAGCATGGCCACACCTTAGGGAGAACATGTATGAGGCAAATGAATAGTATTGATTCTGAAGCAGTTCCTTGAGGAATTACTGTTTTCCCTTCCCTAAATTAAAAAATGCACTTTCAGATACGTTATTATAAAAAATAATAATCCTTACATTTGATGTAGCGCCTTACCAAGTTGTCCCAATGCCTCAAAGCACTTCACGGAACCGCATGGCCCATTATAAAACCTTTATGTCAAATAGGCCAAACTTCTGAACACTTCACACAGCCTGTTGTGCCTTTCACTATCACAATATTTCATATCAGAAATATTATGGTAAAATTTGGGTTCATCTTTCTGTGACAATTTGGGAATTTTGGATAGTGTAACAGAATAAAGGTTATGATCTATGTTAGGTAGAATCCTTGCTATGTGGTGAAAACTTGGACTCAGCGCTCGTATTGCTGGTTCATTATACTTGCCGAAAACCTACCTGCTTAGAGTAACGTAGGAGTTCACAGAATTGATAGTGCAATGACTTTTGCTGTTCGAGAGGGGAATAAAGGCTTATAGGAAACATTTGAGACATTGTTTATATTCTCTAAGGGCAGCTTTTTCCTGGTCATATCATTGTGATTATTTATTTCCAAATCAATAAGCATCATTGCTTTTGAGATGAAAATCTATATCCTTGCAGGCAGACAAATCTTCTGGCTCATCTCTGCTAATCTCGCTGTATTCCCTCCAGATTCCTAGATATGTGCTACATTAATGACCAATGAGCTGTGTCAGTTGCATCTCATGATCCAAATCGCTTTAAATGCCAGGAACATCCATTTCATCTAAAAGTCTAAGCGTATTACTGCAGCTTTGACCATTAATTTCACTGCTGAGTACCCAGCCCCTTCTTACTTTCAAATCCTCAATTACTTGTAATGACTTGTAAATCTTTTGATAAGATGTTTCATTTGGTACTTTTCGCCATGATTCAACAATCTGTGTTTTTTCTTCACACTCAAAGATCAATCAATACAATTGTAAAAGCCTATTTCATTTCTTTCTTATTGCTTCGAGGAACTTGGTTCAACTGAATGTATCCCCCCTCCTATAGCCTATGCTACAAGCAGTTCTGATTTCTAATAATAATCTTTGCAATTGATATATATGCCTTTTACATCGAGAGTACTTCACAGGATTTACTGTAAAGTGTAGTGGCTGTATTTTGTAGACAAAACCAGCAGCTGATTTGCGCACAGCAATGCCCCACAAACAGTTACTTTTAACTGGCCAATGTTGACAAATTGTGCCATGGGATCTTTAACATCCAAAGGACAGTATATCCAACAATACAGTGATCCCTCGACACTCTATGCCCTTCCTGTAATTACTGCTGTACAGATATAGGATTTGAAGAAAAATTTAACTTACATAGCAGTGTCAATCATAACAAATTAATCCGAAACATAAGGAAGGGAATCTGAGAATCTTATAATGCAGTATCACTGAATAAAGTTTATAATGTTGCTTAAGGTGTTAGCTTGTCGTAGGTAGTAGCATTTTTCAAGCTCCACATCAGGACTTCAGCTCATCGTCTCATTGTTGGAGAGGTATAATTTTCAGAAGATATGCTAAACTGGGATACTGTTTGCCTATTCAGATCAATGTTAAGATCACATCACTATAAAAGTAGAACACAAATTACCACTATAACGTTTTTAATAATATCCAAATAAATGATATCTTCGTATAGCCATATGAATAACTTTAAAGTTGACGTTGTATGAATGAAATCACCTGAAATGGCAATACAAATATATATTGGGAATATATTGAGAATTTAGAAACTATCGTGTTTATGACTTATTATTATTACTATTTTTTCCTCTTCCCAAGCTCAAGGATTCCAATAAGAACATAAGAGACATACCAGCCAACATCAGGGTCCAACATTGGCTTTCCTTTGGTCAGCCAGGTGTCTGACACCTGTGGAAACTCATTACCATGCTTAAGAAAATCCAAACCAAGCTGAGATTTCCAGAGATAGATTGTTGGAACAGTATGCACACTCTCTCCCTGGAGGGACACATCCTGCTTACCTAATTCCACAAAGTATTATGCGCAGTTCGACAAGAACCAGGGCTTGGGGACCCCAGAGTGTGCATTGGGGCACTGCTGGAGCCTAACCAACTAAAAACACATAGCTTGCCTTTTCCGCTGCTTGGACCACCCTACCCGTTAAGGCTTTCGCTTTCAGGGTTAACATTTGTATAGAAAAGAGAGACTTTCAAAAGTTGCTTTCAAGTGAGTCTAAACTAAAAGTTCACATTAATATTACGAACATAATCTTTTGTGTAACACTTACAGAAGTGAATAATGAAAAGAGTGAATACTTAGTTTTATGGTGCTCACTGTTCCATCTGCCCTGGGGAAATGGAACCCACGGTGATTGATGTGACAGGGTGCATGCTGTGTATATGAGTCAGTTGAGATTTTAGAGTAAGATTCGGATCTTAGCCATCCTATCGCGGGAGGCCCATTGAGTGGAAGCTAAGAATTTTCACATAGAATACATCAGAAAGCTTGCCATCTTGGGTTAATCTCACACATGTCCTTGAAAGCATTGGAGAAAGATAGGAATAGATCTCCTGCTTAGCATTTTATTCAAGGGTGAGAATCAAAAGGAAATAGGAAAGATAAGAAAGCTAAATAAGATAAGAAAAATGAAGAAGAAAATAATTGTTGTGTAATGTTTGAGCAAAAGAACATCAAAACATTCAAGTGTAGCTACATATCTGAATGATGTTACCCCTTATTTGGCCTTACACAATACACGGAAATGATTGGGTCACTGTGTTTCAAAGCAAGACCAATAGAAATATTGTATCTAAATATGTACATTTGTGTATTTAGTTTATTTTACAGAGCAAAAGTTACTAAGGTTCTGTAATCCCTAAAATTCATTCCCACAACAGAATCAGAGTACATATAAAAACATCTGTGCTGTTAATCTTCATTCAGAAACAATCATGCATAACCTGTGTATGTGATCCTCTGAGATTTCTGTAATACTGTGGTGTCCAAGGCAATCAATTTCATCAATATATATGTAATAAGTGTGAATAGAAATGCATGTGCTTTAAAACCAAGCAAAGATTAGCATTGTTTGATTTAAATAGATATCATTATTAGCCAGTGCCCTTCATGAGATTACCATACCGTCTGTGTTTCCTATTTATTAGACAGAATGTCGATTTTCTATTGAGCTATTCAGCTATTGAACTATCATGATCTTGGTTATGTTTGTGGTGTGTGAGGAAAAGAAAACAAACAAGGTGCGTGAAGCTCAAATTCTGTCCTCACCTGATTAATTCCCGACTAATGCATAAAGGAAGACTCAGCTATAATAAGATTGTATTTTGGGATATTATACCAAGTAGGATAAAACAAGCCACATTAATCATACCGTTTGCTTTGAAATATTTTTTGTTAAACATTTTCGATCTTCGTTTCTGATGGCACAATATTTGCTGAACGAATGATCAAGTGGAATACAGCACAACGCGTTCACATGTAGCAGAGACTGATACTGGCACAGTTTTTAAGGAAGCCGGTTCTCTGTAATCCTGGGATGCAGCTGCTTAAAGAAATTGGAAGTGTGACAAGTACACTCCCTAAAATCTCAATTGCATTATTGAATATCGCAGGGTGAATTGTAAAGATACAACTAAACATTACTTATGTTTATTCTATCCTCATTATTGACGGGATATTGGATTTTAAAAGACACTGCACTTAAGTCCAGCGTAAACCTAACAGCTCTGTAGTGAGTTGAGATTGCTGTTAATTAAATCAACATTGCTCCATTCTTCTGCTTGTCTCTACACAACCTTCTTTGGCAGATGGCATGGACCACTTACTGTTCTGCGATCAGCCAATAGAAGGGAAACTTGTGAGAGAGGAAATGAAGGCTGTTTCTCACTGAGGTGGAGTGTGTCCTATTTGCTACCCCACCTTTGCTGTTCAAGAAATAACTCAACACCTCAGCTGACAGATGAGTAGAGAGTGGTTTCCGGCACGCAAACCGAATGTTACTGCTGCAGTACCTCTGCCTATTGTTTAAACACATTAGTCCTTCACATTGTAAACATGGTTAATCTTTTCTGAAGCATTGAAACTAAGTCATCACAGCCTCAAATTGTACGATAAGGTATAATATGATAAAACCCGTTTCTCTCATCTGTTGGATTGATAATGCACAAATAATAATAATAATCCTTACATTTGATATAGAGCCTTATCACGTCTTTGAGACATCTCAAAGCACTTCACACAATATACTGTAAAAGTGTAGTGTGTTTTGTGGGTGTGACTGGAACTATTTATCTTGCTACTTCTCTGATTTCATTTATTTCCATTTTAAAATAAATGCAATGTGTTGCTCTAACAAAATTTAAGATTGTTTTCCAACAGGAATTAAACATTCAGCTGAGCCTGAACTCAAACTAACCCAAACACATTTGTGTTGCATTTCTTCTCATTTCATGAGTGCATATTGGTTTGTTTCAGTACTTTGTTTAGATAAAGCTGCATTAAAAAAAACAATCTCTTTGCCTTGCTGAAGAGACATTTCCTTTTGCTGAGCAAAGCATGTATCCCACGCTTCAAAATTTTTTTTTTCCGTATTTTTTGCTGAGCAGAACGAAGTGAGATTTCAGTCACTTGCTTATTTAAGATTTTTGTCAGTGTTGAAAGCCCTGCTCTTGTTTATGCGTCCAATCTTTTCAAGGGCCATCCAGGATCTCTGAACAATCAGAACTGGGAACAGTGCCATTGACATTTGCACATCAAGCTATGCCACATTTAGGTCTGGTGAGGACCTGCCAAAGTACATGTTGTTATTATTACAGAGGTCACAAATGTGCTATAAAATCTGATGAGATCAATTCCTCAGCTGTCTGGATAAGATATCAGACTTTTTCCTCTTAACTTGCTGATGTTAATTTTAATAACTGCACAATGATTAAAACTGTTTCAAAAGCAGTTTATCTGGTAATTATTGTCCTTCTTTAATATATTCACACTTGCGTACACACACACACACACGCACAGATACGCCTTGTAAGATACAATAAATGACCATAATGTCTTTCTGTCCTGGGCTTTGATTCATAAAGGCGTCAGATTGCACCTGTGGCTTAGCTCACAAGTGTCCTTGATGCCACTGACATTACAATACAACAACAACAACTTGGATTTATATAGCGCCCTCCACGCCAGACGGTGTCTTACAATAATATGTCTTACTGTTGCACTGCGTGAACTTCAATTCTGTTCATCAAACAATGAAAGAGTTTAGCCAAAATCTATAATGTAAGTTCAGTCTAACATAAATTCCTTCTGAATCCTTCATGTATTAGTTTTCGATGCATAGAGTAAGCATCACCTGGTTTCTGATGAGATATGCAAGGTTAGATTGCACGGATTGAGTTTAAAAGTTTAGATGAAACACAAAAAGATTATTGATCTTAGTTGGAATGTACAGATACCTTAAATATCTATCTCTTGATTGTATTTCTAAGGAGAGATACCACAGCAGGGATCTCTCTAGGGCAATCAATGGAAAGGGAAAGCTAGCAATGACACTGTAGGAGAAGCAGGATTGCAGACAGAGCAAAATTTTTCCCTTTTAAGTCATCATTCATTGCATTGACTGGAGACTAGTTTTAAAATGCTGAGATTATCAAAAGGTTCTGCTGTCAACGTGTTGGTGCATTTCACTGATCATTACAACAATGACAAATCTTAATTCTTACAGTTTTACATTCTGACGTTTGCTTTTTCACATATTCTGCAACCTTCCAGTCCTAGATTGACAAGTTCTATGTTGTAATAATTACACCTCTTTATTTTTTCCCGTTGGGGAGTGGAAAAGTGGCGGTTCAACTTTTTGTTAGTTCACTATTTTTAGTAGCATCTCCAAATCCCTTGTGGCGAATCCTGTTGGCAACCAGCAGTGTGTCATGGCTGACTCATGGGATCCCTGCTCCTAGGCATCAGATGTAGATTGCAGGATTACTGTGACCTTATAATAAATTGGTTACTTCAATCCACGACTGTTTGTGGGACCCTGCTGTGCGTAATTGGCTGCTGGTGTTTTGCCCACAAAGTATACAGTCAATTCACTTTACAATATATTCTGTGAAGCACTTTTCTGCTGATCGACTAACAACCGGATTCCTGCTCACTGCTGGGTAAACAGAGGCGTGTGGAGTAAGGAAAGTTGCCCAATGTTTCGCCCTGCCTGGAATCGAACCCAGGTCCTCTCGCTTGCGAGGTGAGTGCTCTAACCGCTGAGCTCCAACAACAACAAAATTACAATTACATAGCGCCTTTCATGTCGGGAGGACATCCCAAGGCGCATGACAGACAGAGTTACGGACCCGAGTTGAGGGTCAGGGTAGGGGAGGGGGAGGGCAGGGGGGGAAGCAGGGAGATTCAAAGCACGGTAAAGGGGAGAGTCTTGAGGTGGGTCTTGAAGGTGGCGAGGGAGGGGGCGAAATGGAGGGTCTGCGAGACGGCGTTCCAGAGGGTGGGCGCAGAGTAGTGGAAGGTCCGACCGCCGATAGTGGGATGAGCAAGGTGGGGGACGTGAAGCAGGCCAGAGCCCGCTGAGTGGAGGGAGCAAAACAGAATGGTAGGGGGCTAGGAGGTCGGAGAGGTAGTGGGGAGCAAGACCATGGAGGCTTTGAAGGTGAGGCCCAGGATCTTGAACTGTATCCTCTGTGTGATGGGAAGCCAGTGGAGTTGGGCAAGGATGGGGGTTATAGGGTCAGAGAGCCTAGTGTGGGAGAGGACACGCTCTGCAGAGTTCTGGATGATCTGCAGCCTGTGGAGGGAGGAGTTGGGGAGGCCGACAAGCAGTGAGTTTACAGGACTCCACTTTGACTGATAAGCACGATGAAAAGGTGCAGCGTGCATGACGTTTACAGTACAGATACTGCAATACTAGCTTTATCTCAGTCTTTGTCTGACTATTGTGTGTACAAAAATTTGAGTCCATAAGTGATTTGTTCATGAAACATCTGAATTTCAAATCAGGATTATTTTCGCTAAGAATTTGGTCTAACCATGCAAAGCTATTTTGAAATTAAAGTGCCATTTCATTGCTTATAAAGGGAGGCATTACTTGTTTTTTAAAAAAATCTTAAATCTTTAGAGATGGCAAGCAGAGAGATTGCTGCCACTCCCAGTCAATGTGAGTGTTTAAACAATCATCAAATGTAAAGAAGCTGTCAGGCGATGGTACATCCTGGGTGTGTGTGAGTGAGTGTGTATCTGTGCAGTTAGTTAAGGAAATGAGAATATGGGCTGCTGTCAACCCAGTCAATTAAGAAAACACTTGATGTGGACAGTTTCCTCCCATTCATGGCAATGCAAGTAGTCACCCTGGGTTAGGTGTGCCCGTATGATCTTTCAAAGGCCCTTCTAGGAACAAATTCCCATCTTTCCCAACTTCCTACAATTGTTCTTGCTAAAGCTGAACAAGCTATGTCTGGAGCTTGGAAAAGGAGGGACCCTGAAAAGTTGCTATTTCCTGTCACTTACCAGAGTGACTGCCAAAGAGGGAGGGCATGGGATGACTTGTGACATGTTAATAAATGATGGAATTTTACAAGAGAGGGCTGTTTAATTAGACTCCCAGCAGACACCTGAAAATAAAGGGCTTATCAAATTAAACAATGCTTTTCTACACCAAGATAAATGGCACAATCTTTTTTTTATATAATTGTAGCCCGTGGCACAAAGCACATGCAATATGTTTTCATTATTTGTTGAGACATAAAAGTTAGACCATCAACAAGCTGGTCTAGACTGAAATTTTAATCAGGATTCATACACAAAGGCTTAGCAGCACATGAAAGGTTATTAAGATCACTGGAAATTGAGTGACAACCACACAATTCCAGGAAGAGATGATAAGACTGAATTTTTCAAATATAGTCACAGCGACTGCCTCGGAAGATAATGGCTATGATTTTTTTTTAAAACAAACTTTTTAATATTTGAAAATGTGAGAAGATATTGCGACATTTATTTCTAACGAAGTATCCAGCTTTTTCCTATTGCCTCAATCGAACTGCGCTCTCTGTCTCCTCAAAATCCTATCATGCACACATCCTGAAACTGGAGATAGAATTTCATTTGTGTTTTCTCAAATCTGATTCACTCTGATTTTAGACTTTGCAGCCGACATAATACATACACACTAAAGCTGAAATGTATACATAGCGCAGCTGAAATATGCTGCACATACTTATTATCACAGACATTTCAATTAATTATGTAATTTAATTGAGGATTACAGTTTCTCTGAGTCTCTGTTTGTTTATATATTTATTAATCTCTCTTTTGACTTCACCGAAAGGCGGTTAGATGCTGCTGGAGTAAAGTCTTTCACATACGAGTGGAAACAATGTTGGGTTAATGGTAATGCGGCTTGTGATTTAAGTTAAAGTTCAGTTTATTTTTCATGTAGTCTGGCGAAATCGAGCTCTGAAATTCTGATCCAAACATAATATACAATGAAGAGGGATTGGAGATTTTACCCTTTCTTGGCTAACAATTCCCTCCTCTCCCGTTTCTTTCCTGTCACTCATGGTGCATGATTTATTTATACATGTAGGATTGTATAGAGTAAGCGTTTATCTCTAGAGGCAAGTATGGAACACAATAGGACCAAGTTACAGCTAAAATAGATCAAAGAGTTCAGAAGAAAATGTCAAACGAACATCTATTTTTCTCTCCAATTCTCATCTCTAGCACCTCAATCCTTTTAGTCTACTGGGACATCCAAGGTCTTCCAATCACCTCCAATTTGAATTGTTTTCTTTAGGCATTTGATATGTACCCCATTCCTCCCTCCTCCAGTGCTTCTCACTAAGATAAAACCGTACAAAATTTAGTACTTATGCAGGGGATATATGGCGATTGAGTACTGCACTTACCCTGCCTGTACTATTTGGCAAATAATTAATAATTCTTTATTTTGTACTAACTTGCCCTATTGTTAACTTAGATGTTTGTACAACCAAGTGCCTTATCTTTTCCTGAGTTTTAACCGAAACACACTTTGCTTGGTTCCCTGGAGCTGCAGAATCCTCCCTGTGTAATGTTACATTAAAACAATTCACTCCTAACATCTCAACCCCTGTTGAAAAATAATGAAATTATATGCAGAGGTTTTAACAATCACAGGATGATAGCGTGATATGAAAAAAATGTGTATTTAGGTTGTTAAACCACAGGTTACTCAAGATTGAAAATGTTTTAACAGTCTTAATCATACCCTACAAGACTTAAAAAGATGAGTCTTACAGGATTTGGTTAAAAAACAAAGGTTAATTTCCATATGGTTAAATTTGTTCAAGTAAACTTCAGTCTAATTCCTTGTAGCCTTAAAAACTTTTGATCAACTGGGTGTCTGACATATCATCAGGTTTATGAATATCCAAACGAGACAGAGTTCCACCTGTGTATTCCACCTCGAGATGGATTAGTTCTCCATTCAATTTGTTCCCCAATTAAAGTTTTTTTTCACCATTACCCTCTGTGCTCTGTCGGAGAGAATGCTGTGAGCAATATATGTTAGACCAGAAGTCCTGATATAATGTAAATGTTAGTTCAGGGTTAGTTTATTCCACTTTACAAATGTAATATTCCTGAGGTTGAGATCTTTTTCTCTGTGTGTTCTCAGTAACCTATCAGTTTGAGCTTTTAACGGCGGTAAAGAGAAATGTTCATTCGCTTCAAAGGAATCAATGCTGGAAAAGTAGTATTTGTTTTCTTCATGGGATCAAAAGGACCTTCTGTATTGCTGGCCAACTCGCAATGTTTTCTCAGTGTAGTATTACAACAACTGAAATGCAATACAAGTTTTGTGTGGTAAAACTCAAGGTTTGATAAAGGGCCACAAATATTAAATGCAA